TCAAGGAGGTGATGCGCGAGCGAGCCTTGAAGGCCCAGGAGAATGCAGAGATGCTCACCACGGACCAGATGAAGAAAATGTCACCAGCGGGGAACTGAAGCGGGACATTCCCAAGTATGTGGCCAGCCAAGCGATTGAGATGCAGAAGGATGCGCAGCGCCATTTGGCAATCAACGTGCAGGAGATGCTCTACGGAGAGGAGGACGCGCCGTGGGAATTCTTCTGTGCCCCAGATAGCTGGTTGACATTTGCGGCGGAACGAGATGGTCTGAAGTCCATGCGGGTGAACTTGGCGAACAACATGGATCTCTACAAGCCCGACACCTACCAGGTCCTGGAGAAGTTGGCCGTGACCAAGCGACCGAGGAGACTGTGGGTGTCTATGCCATGCACTAAGTGGAGCTCCTGGGCACGATTGAACTATCACGATAGACCGGAGCAGTTGACCAAGTTCAGACGCAGAGAGCGAAAGATGATGCGGCTCTTTGCGAATTGGCTCAGCAAGACACTTGAGAGTGGTCAACGTCCGGAATATTACCATGAGTGGCCTACTCACTGTGATGGTTGGAACGTGCAGGAGATGGGCCAGATCCAGCGCATTCTGGAGTATTTCGGCTACCGTGTCTTCTGGTGCCGGATTGACGGCTGTCGATACAACTTGAGATCTCGAGATGGGAAGCAGCTGCTGCGGAAACAATGGACCATCATGACCACGGACGAACGGTTCTACGCTATGTTTCGAAGCAAGACGTGTGTTGGAGGTCATGATCATGGAGAGATTGCGGGTGTGGAGACGGCAGCAACAGCCTACTACCCGTGGAATCTATGCCGCAGCATAGCCAGGCTTTGGCGACAGCAGGAGGTCCCAGATCGCGTGCTGAAAAAGCTCTGGATCAAGGAGGCTATCGACACCACGGATGAGAAGTACCTGAAGATGGTTCTCCACGCGGCGGAGGCAGAGCCGGGCACAGAAGGAAGTGAAGCGCTTGATGACGTGCGAGAAGTCGGCGATGCCGAGCCGACGGAAGCGGAGAAACAGATCTGGCTCACGAAGATCAAGAAGTTCCATGCTGCCGCTGGACATCCTGGAAATCGCAATCTGGCCAGGATGACTCGGGATGCTGGGAGACCAGCGCGGCAGATCCGTATGGTCATGGACTACAGGTGCCCACATTGTGAGGCACTGAGACCGGGTGGTAGCAGCTCGGGACGAATACCACCTGCTTCAACCAAAACCTTGCCTAAGGCGTGGTCGCAGGTTGGCATTGATCTGAGTGAGTGGCTGCCGCCGAACTGTCAGCAGAAGTACAAGTTCATTCTCTTCATGGACATGGCCACGAAGTATAAGGTGATAGACGTCATCAAGAGCTACAGCATGGAACAGCAACAAGCTGAGTCGGCGGACGATGTGATCAAGAGTTTTGCTCTACGGTGGCTTCTGGACAAGCCGAAGCCGGAGTATGTGATCCCCGACTCGGCGAAGACACTGACAACGTGATTGACAAGGGCGATGAGTTCTTTGTGGAGTTGGAGCAGACCCACTATGCGGAGACGTTGGAGGACCTGGCCATTGACTCAAAGCGGCTCCGGTCTTCGGGAGATATGACCGTGCGAGAAGTGTCTATGTGCCGCGGTGCTTTGGGGGCATTGCAGTGGTTAGCTGTGCAGAGCGCTCCACTGATTTGCGCAAGATGCAACTTGCTCCTGACGGACCTCAGTGAACAACCAACGTTAGCCGCTGCGAAGGAAGTGCAGGACTTGATCAAGGAGGCGCGGACGATGACGTCTACCTCGTTGCGGTTTCATCACTTCAACGATGTGGAGCATTGGCAAGACATGACGGTCATTGGCATGGCGGATCAGGCGCACGCGAATAGGCCCAAGGGTGAGTCCACTGGTGGCTTGCTGGTGCTGATGGGCGGCAAGGGCATTCGCGAGGGGAAGACTTCCACGTTGTCGTTGGTGATGTGGAGGACTTGGAAGTTGCGGCGAGTGGCCATTTCGTCAAATGATGGCGAAATTCAGTCCATCCTGGAGGGCGAAGATCATGCCTATCGGGTGAGATTGATGTGGGCGCAGCTGAATGGTTGCTGTGGCTTCAACCAGTCCGTGGACATCCTGGAGGTGGCGGATTCCATGGTGGCGACTATCCCAGGCTTGCTGGCGACGGACAGCAAGGGTGCCTTCGATGCGGTGGAGCTCAATGAGGGACCACTGTTGGGGTTGTCCAACATTCGGGCAGCGCTTCAGGCGTATCAATTGCGCCAGCAGATGCAGAAGGTTGGCACCAAGCTCCTTTGGCTGGCTAGCGATTGGAACCTCGCGGATTGCATGACGAAGAAAAACAAGACAGCGAGACAGTCGATGATCCAGTTCCTCAACACATGGATCTGGCAGCTGAAGTTTGATCCGAACTTCATCGTGAGCGCCAAGAAGAATGCGAAGGCAGGCAACTCCGCCATGGACAACATGCGTAAGGGCTCCGGCAAGGCCAACTGAGGCACTGGGCAACTTTTCTTTTGGGCTGGTGCGATAGACCATTTTGGTTTGCCCAGACCACAGTACACAAGCAAATCATGCATCGTGACCCTTTCGGCTTTGCCAGGGAGGGCCCTCTCTTTAGCAGCCAAACCGATGGCGACAAGCCATGATGCGTTTCCTTGAGGAGGAAAACAGTGGGTGTAGCCGCTGAGGGCGGCTGTTGCAGAAACCAACAAGTATCCAATCATTTTGGGGGTCCCCTCTATTTTGACACCTATCCATCAAAGGCTTGCCTTTTGGTGTTCCTTGAAAAAACACGGAGAAACATAGGCACCCAATACTCTTTGTCATTTTTTGTGGGCCCTTGTTTCGCCCCAAGGGGGGGGGGTAGCATTGAAGCTGAAACTGTTGGTTCCCGAGGATCCCTCCAAACTAGATCAGTCCCTTAGGAAACGGCGATTGTCCCCCGCCCCCTTCCCCCTTCCCCATTTTTTTATTTCTCCGGAAGGTCATTGTTTTTCTCTCGCCGCGCCGCCGCCGATTTTTTTGGGGTCTCGCTTCTCGGCTGACCTGGCCTCAGATGCCTCGGCAGGAAGTGCGGGCCCACCCCTTTTTCAGCTCCCTGGACTTTGGGAAGGTCCTCAGGCGTGGCACCTTTGCTTGCCAAAGGTGTCCGTTTTGGCTTATCAAGAGTGGGATGGGAGTTTGTGACTTGCATGAAACAAGTGGCTTTTTGCTTTTCGCAAATGGGAGGTGAGGGTTTGCCCCTTGTTTTGGGCCACAGAAGTGGCTGAACATAGGTGTCCTTTTTGGTTGTTTTGGTCGAAGACTTCCTGGTTGACCTAGTTGTTTCATAGTCTACCAGGGTTTCCCCCATCTGTTGCTGAGTTTCTCCAGTTTTCTGCGATGGCCTTCTTTTGAACCCGGCGAGGCGCGAGGAGCCCGTACCTCCGTTGCGCCATGCCTCATTTCCCAGGTTCCGGGGAGGGGTTTGTTTGAAAAAGAAACAGGGGTCCAATAAAGGTGTGTTCCTATAAAACCGGTTTTAGACACATTTCACCGGTTCTTGTGTGGCATTTTTTTTTTGTCAGGTGAGTGTTGCTGGTAGACGTTTCAAGGGGAAGAAACAAGCCCATGAAAGGGAAAGCGAAAGGATGCTTCCAACCAGTCTTTTCACCCATCGTTCTTCTCTCAAAAACCGATCGCTGTTTCCCCCGGCTGTTTCATGGTGAAAAACATAATCCCTGGAAAGAATGGACGTGGAAGCTTCCCTTAGAATAATAGGTGATCTTCAACCAGGGGTGAAACAGGGTGCTGACCCTGGCAGGAATCGGATGGACAAGGTGACCAGTCCGTTTGAAGGCCGAATGGGCCAAATATTCCGCTGGTCCTCTGCACAGGAAATTCATGGATGGGAATTTTCCTTAAGCGACCTCCCCGCAGGCTTGTCGCCTGTTGGGGAGGCCATTCATCGCTCCAAGAGCTGCGGCTTGATGGGGGCCAAAAGGGGTGCGGATTTTTTGCTCGCCCCGGTTTTGTTGAGAACAGTACGTGTATCATGCACATACACACACACATATATATATACATATATATATATATATTTGTATATATACACACGCAATTGTGTCTATGTATATATATATATACATGCATATGGTAACATACATATATGTGTATATATATATATATATGTATATATACAGGCATACACATGCCTGTGTGCGTGTGTAAGCCGAAGGGGCCGTTGGCATTCGCTCGGAGGAACTGGTGTTTGCTTCTCGCCTATGCAGCCCTTCTTTATCCAGAAGGGATGTGTTTCCCTCAACAAAGGCTGTTGTTATGATCAACTCTCTACTCTTGAGGACATGATCCACAAGGGATCCACAAGGGATTCATTGAAGACATGATTTTCCCTCAAAAAAGACTGCTGTGATGATCAGCGTTCTACTCTTGAGGACATGATCCACAAGGAGTTCGCGTGGTTGTTTTTCGGGGGCCCCCAAAATGGGGTTGGACAGAGGACCTGGGTGGATTCTTCCTGGATTCCTTTTGCCCCAAACCCTTCGTATGGCTTTGGTTTTTGATACGCGTGTATCGGCTGGTTATAAGGGCTGCCCTTGACCTGCGTTCCAATGGCTACCGTTTGAACCCTGGCAAGGCACAAATGACAATGGAGACCGGGAGTCCGCCCCCTTCTTATTTGCAGTCGTCGCCCACCGACTGCTGCATCTGATTTGTTCCTTTGCTTGGTTGGAACATCACCTCGTTGCCTTCAAGGAGAAGCAACACACACACACAAACCCACATCTCTTTTGGTGGCTGCAAGTCTAAAGAGGTGTGGCTGCAAGTCTAAAGAGGTGTCACCTCCAAGTCTTTGCCTCCTTTCCCCGTTTTCCGCTCGCCCGCAACTTCCACCCGTCTTTTTCCGTCCTCACGTCTTCGAAGACGTTTTCGCGGCTGGGGGCGGGCGGGGGGCGGCCCGGGGGGCGGCCCTGGGGGCGGGGGGCCGTGGCCAGGACTGCGAGGTGAAGCTGCTGCACACCTTTGAGTGTTGGGAGGAGAACGGCCCGGGGCTCGGAGCGAGACTTGGGCCGGAAACCGCGCGCTTTGGTCTTCCTCTTTGTTTTGTTTTTAATAATACAAGATACATAAATTATTTAAGGGCTGCCGCCCTGTGCCGCCGGCCCCTGCTTGCTGACAGGGGACGTTGTTATGACAATTATGACTACGCATTTTTTGGCGGGTTTCACGGCGCATTTAAAGCAATATGAAAAAGAAGAGCAGCACGATAATGATGATGTTTTTGATGATGCAATTTTCCCAACATTAGGGATGCTGATACTATGCATTTGCATTATCGCCAGCAGTTATGATGATATGTGTTACTTTGCATTTTTTTTAGCATCACCAGCAGTTGTTCCGATAATTATGACGACGCATTCCATCTCATCTCAAACAAGCCACTGCGGGATAAATTCGCATGACAATAAGCACCTTGTTGAATTTTACCAGAAGTGTCTCGGGTGTGTGGAAACTCGGGCAGGAAACCCATGTTGGGGGCCTTTTTTTTTGCTTTCTTATGCTCAAGACTTCGATGTATTGCTGTGGATGCGAAGTGTGGACTTTGTGACTTTGTGCCATCGCTTTGTCTTCGCGAGAAGTAAGCCGTTAGGAATGAACATGATGATGATGACGATGGCGATGATGATGAACAGGATGATGATGATGATGATGATGATGATGATGATGATGATGATGATGATGATGAACATCACCATCATCATTTTCATCATGATGTTCATCATCATGTTCATCATCATCATCATCATCATCATCATCATCATCATCCTGTTGAAAATCATCACTGCGCATCCTCAGCGTCACCAGCAGTTAACGTCCTCACTATGCATCCCCAGCATCAGCAGCTCATCATTGTTTTCATCATCATGTTCATCATCATGTTCATCATCCTCATCATTTTCATCATCATGATCAGCAGCATTTTCCTGATGACAATCATCACTACGCATCCTCAGCATCACCAGCAGTTAACGATCATCACTATGCATGACAATCATGACAACGCATCCTCTGCATTTCCAGTCGGGTCTAACAGCACGGTTTTGATGATGAACATGATGAGGGACATGATGATGCAAATGATGATGATGATGATGATGATATGATGATAAAGATGATGCTGATGATGATGATGATGATGATCATCATCATCATTTTCATGATAATGCTCATCATGTTCATCATCATTATCATCATCATCATTCTGATGATAATCCTCAGCTGACAACGCATCCTCTGCATTTCCAGTCGGACACTTGAAACGTATACGAAAAAGAAGAGCATCATGGTCGTGAGTAAAATGGTGATGACGATGATGATGATGACGGTGATGATGATGAACATTATGAACATGACAAACATGATGATGAAAATGATGACGGTGTTCATCCTCAGGTGGTGTTCACCACCACCCCCATCATGTCATTTTCATCATCATGTTCATCATCATCATCATCATCCTCTTTATTCTATACTATACATTTCAAGTGTGGCGTTAGAGAGCATTGGTGATGCAGAGGATGCTGACTACTGGTGATGCTGAGGATGCGTCATGATGACAAAAGATGCATGGACATGATTATCATGATGACTGCTTGTGTGGACATGATTATCATGAGGATTGCTGGACACTTACATGGTTATCATGATGACTGCTGGACAATTATCATCACAGTCATCATCCTTGTCACCCTCGTCATCATTGTAGTCATCACCATCTCTTTCTATACTTTTCTACTATACATTTCAAGTGTGTCGTTAGAGAGCACTGGTGATGCAGAGGATGCGTCGTCATGATTATCATCATGACGACTTGTTCATCAGGTTCATCATCATCATCATCATTTTCATTGAACACACATCATCATGCCCACCAGCACCACCATCATTTTCATCATCATGTTCATCATCATCTCCTCATCATGTTCATCACTACGCATCCCCGGTCATGACAACGCATCCTCTGCATTCCAGTAACGGCACACTTGAAACGTATCTAAAAGAAGAGCGCCAGAACATGATGATGCAAATGATGATGATGATGAAAATGATGATGGTGGTGTTCATCATTGATGTCCATGATGAACATGATGATGAAAGTGATGATGGTGGTGTTCATCATCTTTATCATTTTTACATCATCATCATCATCATCATCATCATCATCATCATCATCATCATCATGTTCATCATCCCCATCATGTTCATCATCATCATGTTTATCCTCATCATCATTTTCATCATCATGTTCATCATCATCATCATCAGCATCATCCTGATGATAATCATTGCTACGCATCCTCAGCATCACCAGCAGTTCACGTCATCACTATGCTATGCATCCCCAGCATCAGCAGTTATCACATCATGACAACGCATCCGTGCATTTCAAGTCTTGTCTAACGGCACACTTGAAAGATGAAGATGAAAATGATGATGTGGTGATGATGATGAACATGATGATGATGATGATGATGATGATGATGATGATGATGATGATGATGATGATGATGATGATGATGAACATGATGATGATGAACATGAACATGATGATCACGAACACCACCATCATTTTCATCCATCACGATCATCAGCATCATCATCATCATGGATATCATTTTCATCATCATCATTTTCGTCATCATGTTTATCATCCTGATGATACTCATCACTACGCATCCTCATCATCACCAGCATTTCACGTCATCAGTTTGCATCCCCAGCATCAGCAGCATGACAATCATGACAACGCATCCTCTGCATGTCCAGTCGGGTCTAACGGCACACTTGAAACGTACATGAAAAAAGAAGAGCGCCACGGGAATGATGATCCGGATGCTGTGAACCATCACCCAACATCAGCGGTGATGATAATCATCACTAAGACCAGGACAAAGACAAGCCCT